ATGGCTGGCACAAAGGTCATGGTCAAGGTTTCGTCGCCGTACGATCTCCTCAGCATGGCGCCGTACTTCTTCCTGGTTTTCGGGGTGCAGAGGGTCTCAGGGCATCCCATCAAGGATTCCCAGGACAGCAACGGCTACATGCTGACCATCTCAGCCGAGGCGCCGCCATTCGGGGTCACCAGCTGCAACAACGAGAACGTGCCAGTTACGCTCCTGATTGAAACCGAGAGCGGCGAGGAAGTCTCGAGGACTGCGGCAGGGCAGTTTGTATATCACGAAGCAGGCCCAGGTGCTAGCTCAGACGACATCACGAGGAAGGTGTCCAAGTCACCTGAGCAACAACATCAGTCTCCCAGGTCAGCAAGCACTCAGCTGGGCAACGAGGCCAGTACAAATACGTACGACTTTGCAACAGCGCCGCAGCAACCGGCACCAACCCCCTATGGGAGCAACTTTTCGCAAGAACACAACAACGGCAACAACATGCTCAGTGCCTATCGAACCAACTCCTTTGCGGAGCAACACTATTCGCGTGCGGTGCCGCCGCCGCTCCGACCGCCCATGGCGGGATGGCAGGCGTACGGAAGAACGCCTGGCCCACCCATCACACACACGCAGATATCTCGCCCAAGTCTGACGCCGTTGCCCATGCCCTCTGCCACTACCCCCCAGCTCGTTCGGACCAGCTCTATCCCCAACTCACCTGGGGGTGGACAGCAATCGGGGTACAACCACTGGGGCTCTTACTCCAACAAGGCCGTCCTGAAGATTCAGGGGAAGCTCGACTCCATGGCAGTGGACTGGACGCCGGAGGAATGGTCCAACCGCCGACGCATCGTCATGTTCAACAAGAAGCAGACGGGGTCGACGCTGACCACAAGCTTCCGATCAGTCAACGTCAATGAGCGGCCGCCCAATAGCATCTGCATCAGCTGCATCTGGTGGGCCGAGAAGAACGAATGCTACGTAACATCGGTGGACACCATCTACCTTCTCGAGCAACTCGTAGTTGCTCCGGCCAGGTTCACGGTCGAGGAGAAGAACCGCATTCGCCGCAACCTCGAGGGTTTCCGCCCGTTGACAGTCAGCAAGGCTAAGGCGGACTCGGAGGAGTTCTTCAAGATCATCATGGCATTCCCGAACCCGAAACCGAGAAACATTGAGAAGGACGTCAAGGTGTTCCCATGGAAGATCCTCGAGTCAGCACTCAAAAAGATCATTGGCAAATACAGCGCCAGTCCCTCTTCGACACTGCCGGCATCGCACCTCCTGACGCCGACACCCGTCAGTGCGTATCCCCCGCCACTCCCGACGCCGCCAGCGCCGAATGTCGCCTCGGACCATGTCGGATCGTATGGTGTCGCTTCGCAAGTTCACCAAGAGGGGCTGACATCTCCGAGATCGATCAGCGGCAGCACACATAGCTGGCCAGCGTACTCGACGGGACCAGGCCCTCGCAACCTTTCGCCAGCACTCACAGCGGTGTCCCCGCGACAATCTGGACTCCGCCTCGCTGCGCCTTTGCCCGCAGTGACGGGTTACGACAACCGGTCGATGACGACGCATTCGTACGGCAGCGGGATGCACACGCCGCTTGGCAACCATCACGCACCCTCCATGGGTCCTGGGCGATGGGATCCTACGATACCGGCGATGCACGCGCCTACGACATACGCGGAGCAGTACCAGCCCATGACCACGCACCACGCCCCCAGTCACCAAGTCTATGGTGGTGACGGGTACGGGGACGGGGCGCAACGCGCATGAAGCCGTGAGAGGCCTGCAGGCGGGAGTGAGGCAAGGGCGGCATGGTCGTGGACCAGGTGAGGGACCGACGGCTCTCGGAAACGAAGGGCGACGATGGGCTTTTCGCGTCTTGTGAGGCGCAAACGTGATAAGCCTAGCGAGAAGTCGCGGTAAGAATGACGGGCATGAGTCACCACTACTGCCAGGGGTACGAGGGGTGGGTGTGCGGGCAGGCGAGCGCGTGAACGAGGCCATGGGATCAAGAGGAGGGACCGAGTACGGGATGCAAACGACAAACCGAGGAAAGCATCAAAAGACGTCGGTCGGGGGGAGCGCAAGCCGCACGTCGTTGACTTGATTGGGGATGGCAGGCTACCACCTTGGACTGGGATGCTGGGGGGGGGGTTGGGTGGGTTGAGTGCGAGAGGAGGAGGGTGCAGGGGTCCCGCGGATGTTTCCCCTCCTCCCCTCCCCTCCGCTCCGCTCCCCTTCCCTTCCCATGTCACACACACACACACACACGCACACACTTTTACTCTCTTTCTCTCTCACACGCACATCCTTTTTCTCTTTCTTTCAGTCCCTCTCCCCGGTCAAGTCAGTCAGTCACTCTCGTCGTGTCTGTCCCCGTGTGGATGGGTGGGGTCGTTGGAGGAGGGGCTGTTTGTCAGCTGCTGTGGCGCAAGCCAATAGGCGCCATCGTAGTCGAATCTACCTTTCCCGATTTGGATAGGGTCGACCAATCACTGAGGCCCCGCTTTTGCCCGCCCGTACCGCCTGCTCCACCACTTCCCGGCATCAATATCGAAGGGCGAGCCACTTTCTCCGACGCATCGACGCATCGCTCGAGTGTCCCTCTCTGTTCTGTTCTGTCCCCGCCCGAAACTCACCCAGGATGAACCTTTCGGCGACAGATGACGATGCTGAAGGGACTGGAGCTCGGACTTGAGCCTCCTGGCCACTCAGGACGACAGTGCGACCGAGCTTATCGCGACAGCACCTCGCTCGTGTGCGGATCGATAACGGATCAGAGCCCAGAGCCTCAAGCTTACCCCTCATTGGCTGTGCTCTTTGATTTCATCATGGGTTGGGGGTGTATCTGGTGATCGTCTTTTCGGGGGGGGTCGCCTGCACCCGTCCGGCGTGCATGACGTACATCATCTGCGTCAGAAAGCCGTCCAACGGCACGGCGCCTTCTCCGCCTGCTCCAATTCCAGTGCCCGTCAGCTTCTGCACTCGACTCACTCCCCGACCACTCGCTTGCCTTCCCGCCTGTACTTCGGTCGTGCATTGGCGTTCCCGCCTCCCATACATGGATCCCAAGGGCATACCCGAACCATTCACATGGCTTCTTACCGAATTTCAGTGTCCCTCTGCCATCCCAAACGGGAACGTGGGCTGTTCGCTACGGAAAAGACATGTGGAAGAGGAGGCCTCTCCAGGAAGTCGATTTCCTGAGCCAAGGGCCGGAAGCCCCCTCGCCCCCCCCCCCCCCCCCCCCCAATAGTCAAAGCCTGTCTTGGTGGCGATAGAGTCGCCTTACGGGCGCGGGTGGCGCGGCTGACCTTATTCACACGCAGCCGTTCCGACCCTCCAACTTGCACCTTCGGGCGGTCACTCTCGACCCCGAGATCGGCATACGGGGGTGGGGGGGCGCGGTCTGATGTACCATTCGACAACAAGGCTGCTAGCGGCGCGTACCTTGTAACGGCCTCGTCGTCGTCGTCGTCGTCGTATCGGCTGTCAACAATATTCCACACCGCCATCCTTCCTCCCTCGCTCGGAACATCCCTTAACCTTGTTTCAGAACTCGCTACCGTTGAGGTCTCCTGGTGTCAGATAGAGTGATGGATACACCGGCGTTTCTGTTTAGCCTATTTGGCGATAGACTTGGTTACATTTTTGCGCATCTTTTCCCCCAAACGCGATTGCTAGCTACCACCCTGCCAAAGGCCCGGCCGCTCTGGACCACGACTGCTCGATAGAACAACCTGGCCATCAGCTTCTGCGGTGTCCTCCATCGCTTATCGACACTTGCGCCTCGGTAATCTCACAGCCACTGCCGCTATCGCTTTCTACACATGTAATGCACTGCACTGAGTCACACAATCCCCTCCCTCTTCCTCCATCGCTCAGAACACCACACGCTGCAAGCACAACTTACACCGCGATTTCCAGCAACTCTATTTCTCATACTCTTCCTCTCATTTTCTTCTTTGATACATTTCATACAACTGCATTTATTCCTACAGGCGTGACAGGGACGGATGGGCCAGGCCATAGAACGGGGAGAATCGGGAATAGGAGTCGGGGGGCGGCGGATGGGCTCGGACCCGGCTACGGAGGACCATTGTACAGGATACTGGGAGCGGGAGGCGGCATGGCGGGAGACCAGAACTTGGTCGGGAATCGGATACACGGCAACACAACAAGAACATGGTGGGCTGCACATAGCATTATACCCTTCGTTTTGCTTTTTTGGAACTGGTTTCGGGGGATCAATTGGGTTTTCGGTATGTTACATATGGGATAGTCTCCTGATAATCATAATCCTTTCGACATTGTTAAATCTGTTACATTGGCCCATGCGGTTATCACTTCGACGTCGCCAAGCCCAAGTTGAGGCGGTTCCATCTGATTTCCCATGTCTTGACATGGTACAGCAATGCAGAGATGTAGCTCACTATGGGATGATGCCGTTGCAGCGATATGAAGGAAGCGAGGACGCGACGTGGACTTGCATATCAGCACCAAATACGGAGTCGGCAACTCTGTCCAAAGAAACATTCGTTCGCAACAGTGATGCGGCTCCCAACCATCCACCCCTGGCGCTCGAAGGAGCCCAACAATCCCCCTTCCTTTCCTCCCCTTTTCATAACAAGTATATTCCATCCAAGGCACAGCGCTCATCGACCAGCAGACCCTCCAAAAGGGCAGCAACGCGACGGTGGGGCCAAAGGCCATGGAGGGTTTTCTTTGTCGCCGTCCCACATCATGTCGCTGTCCTTCCTCCTCCTCCTCCGGCGGACTTCGTGTTCCTCATCGAGCGGCGGGGGTTTTGTGGCTGTGGCCGGAGGGGGGAGAGGAGGGGATATACCGTTCTCGTCTGACGTAGCGGGAGTGCCGGCGTCGACGAGTCCAGAACAACGCGCCACGACACCTATCCCCGGCATCCGGATCCGCACAACACGCACTGCGGCCGAATCATTGCATGCATCTCTTACCCTGCATATCAGCCTCCGCCTGCGAATTGGTCATACGTCCTGACCGTGGCCTTGTTGACGTTGAAGAACTCGTCGAGCACCGGTGTCTTCCCAGATATCGGTGGTGTACGGATGGGGAGGATGGATGCAGGTACTCGGCTTTGAACCAGTCGGTCGCGGAGCCCGGACCTTTTCGGCCAACGCGATGATGTGGCTCGAGCATCGCTCCTTGCGCACCTCGAACCCGGGAGCCGCGATGAGGCTCCTGGCGCCGTTCCAGTTCATCCTGATATGGTCGGGCACACGCCCGATAGTGATACCGGAAGCGCCGGCGGCAGATCGGTACACGACGGCCGGCTCCTTGTAGCCTCCGGGCTGCAGAGTTGTGGTGGTGCTGCATATCATGTCGATCATGAACTTGTGGGAGTGCAAGTGTATGCCGTGAGTCGTCGAATCTTGCAAGTGTCGCCGGAAGGCGGAGGGGGGACCGTCATTTTCCGCCTCTGGAAGACTCTGTTCGGGGTAGTAATCTTGAAGTTCTTCCCTCTCCGGTGCTGTGGCTTCTGGCTCTTCTTGTCACCCTACTCTTCGTCGGACAGTGCAGTCTCAAACTTGATCCCTTGTGGCTTCTGGAGCCAGACCGCAATTTGCATCCAAAAGCACTCCAGCCAGTGCTGGGCAAGCCTTGGATCCACGATCTGCTGCCGCCGGGCGGCCGGGCTGTATAGCACCACCCAGAGAATCCACCACAGCTACCTGGGAGGTTCCTCCTGTCGATGTGCTCCTCAAAGTCAAATGTATCGAACGCCGCGAAGAACCGCTGGATCGGGTTTACTTCTCAAAGAGCACTCAATCTTGACGGGTCTTCGAGATCCTGTCGGAGCGCTTGCAGATATTGCAGCTTTTGGCTCAGCAGGGTGGCCAGGACGATGGCTTTCAAGTCTCCGGTAGCCATCCGCTGGACCCCGTGCGACGCGTGGCGGCTTTGTTGATCGGTCCGGGTGTACTGAGCCATTTTCGACAGCACTGCGTCGTGGTCCACCAAGGCCTTGAGTCTCAGCAGAAACCATGAGGTTGCCCTAAGCGAAAACCAAAATCGCGCTGTCGATGTGTAACCGGGTTTCTCAAGCTGTCTTTTGACAAGGCCCATCCGTCACGGATCTTGAAGTTCAAGTCACGATCGAGGCGGCCAGCCGGCACGTAATAGTCCTGTAGACCCAGCGTAGCCGTCATAGTTGGTAATGTGTTAAACGCAACGCTCAGTGAAGCATGACGTGCGGAAGCCCAGGTCGATCCCATGTGGTCTTTGCCTGGCGTCTTAGTTGCAGTTCACCGTCTCGCGGATCAGGCGAAACATCATGGTCCTTAGTGACTGGGAGGGAGCTTGCCGAGTAAGCATTGCTAGGATTCGACCTTGACGATTGCCCATCGTGCAACCTCTTGAACGAAGTCGTTGACTGAGATTTTGTTTAGCTTTTATTGGGGTTTACAATGTGAAGTAGCACGTAATCTTTCCTACTTAGCTTCTCGTGTATGCGTCCACAATGCCGACAATATTAAGATTATATGCAGCCTCCCAAGCAGAAGATCGTGTCACGTGTTTTCTAGATGGCCCTTTGCTATGTTTAGCCTTGGTTGTAATATCTTATAGGACTGATCGTCTGGACAGGAAGCCCCGAGACTGTCTGTGAAGCTGAATAGCAAGTAGACTAGGTTTCATCTTGGGTTGGATTCTGGAATAAGGCGTAGTTTTCGAGAAGCCTACAGGTTTAGGGATCACCGGACTGGAAACAGCTTTCGTCTTGACGTTAGGAAAGCAACAAAACCATGCATCGCAGAAGAACTGACGATCAAGCTTGCAGTTCGGTCGACCCATCAGCTCTTCCACATTGTTATGTTGATGAAGGTGTACTGTATCAGCAGCATGTCTTCCTACAGTCGGCACGCAGGATGGTGAAGAGTTGGGGCGGTACATGCATGTAGGGCGGGAACACAGAGACCACAGGGAAGGGGCGGGGCTAGGTACGGTAGTTGCGGCAGGCTCGGAAGGGAAGACCGCCATGCGCGGGTTGTGGACTGGAGTGAGGTACGTATCCAAGGCGATGGTGGCTGTTTCGTTTGATGAGTGGCGCTGGCCGAGAAAGCCCACGTCGTGTCGTACCGTATCCCACGAGGCAACAACACACTCAGCTCAGGGGGGAGGGGGGGTGCCTTCCAGGCGTTCCTTCGCTCTTTACTCCGTACCTACTTAGGTATCTACCTAGGTACCTACCTACCTAGGTCCGGTACCTCAACAAGACGCTACGCATTCTGCTCTGTTCCGTCTTGTTCCTGCGGCCGCCTTCCATTTATCCCTGCAACACGTCCCACCAGGCACGCTAAACGCCCATCCATTAATCCATCCATCCATCCAGATGCTCTGTATAATCTTGATAAGGGAGACGCCGAGCATCCATGTGCGTCCAGGCCAGCCAGGCCAGGGGTAATGATTGCTCTTTGTTGGACGCATGTCGCCCTCGTTGGCCAAGGAGAGGGCCAGTCTCGGCCTCGCTGCCTAGTCCGAGGGACAAAGGACATCATCGCCTTCAGGCGTTAATGGACAATGGAGCCCAGGCGAGCCCATCTTGGCGCAAGAGAATGGGGGTGGTACGATCTGCACAGTCGCTTCTCGTATGGCATGCTTAGATTCGGAGAGGATGACGCGACAAGCTGAGCTGAAGACCTGCCGTCCAGCCCGCGGTCGGTGTTTTTGCAGAGGCGCTACTGATGCACGCCGGTCCCAGTACCCAAAACGCCAACCTGAACGAACGCCAACGCCATTGCCAATATTAGTACGAGGCCTGCCCCGACAGAATGGGACGTGACATGGGACGGGTTCGGTCCCTCTCTTCCGCACAAGTACGGATACGATCCGTAGGTTTGCAGTTCACCAAAGGTAACCACAAAGGGCACCATCCACACTATCTATCTAGCTTACTTGCATCACCATTGACCCTTGGCTTCCCATTGGGACTTGGGCTTGGGAACTTGGGTCTTGGCTCCAGGGCTGCGAGACACCGAAACAAAGGCACCCGTCCGCCCATCCATCCCGTTTTCTCTCCCACCCCTCTCCGTGTCTTTTGCTCGCTTGCTTTCCATCTGGTTTATTGCTCCATTTGCCTGTCCCTTGAATTCCCATGCTTGCTTGCTCGATTGATGTCCTTATTCCTTTAAGGATTCCTATCCTGTATCGCTCGCTTCGATTGCTCGTTGCACACACGACCTGCAAGTGCTCCTCCACACTCGTTCAATTGGCAATCGCGTCGACAAGCTCGTAGTCTCCGCCGTCAATATCCAGCTCTCGTTGTCCAAACGTCGCGAACCCCCGCCGAGTCTTCACGTCACGGTTGCACCTGCCAACCAACGACAGGGTCTCACCCACTTGCGCCGCCCATCATGATCCCCACATTCCTCTTCGCCCTTGTGCCCCTCGTGGCAGCAACGTCGTCCTCGAAACGCGGTCTCGTCTTCACTCCGAACCCCAATTGGCCCCAGGACAACAAGATCTGGGTCCAACAGGGCTCCGACCTGACATGGTACTACAACTACCAGGAGATCCCCAGCCCGGCCTTCTCGTCAATACCCCAGGACCGGTTCGAGTTCGTCCCCATGATGTGGGGTGTCTCGTCCAACCCCGAAGACACTACATTCCTCACGAGCGTCCAGAGCTTGATCAACGACAAGGGCATCAACATTACCCACGCCCTCGGCTTCAACGAACCCGACGGCCCCACGCAGTACGGCGGCAGCAACATCGCCCCTGCCATCGCCGCCAAAGCCTGGGTCGCCAATTTTATCCCTCTCCAGGAGCTCGGCGTCAAGGTCGGCTTGCCTGCCTGCACCGGCGCTCCAAGCGGGCTGCCGTGGTTGAAGCAGTTCCTGGGCAACTGTTCTGAGATTATCAGCGACGGGGGGGATAAGAAGAACTGCACCTATGACTTCCTCCCCGTCCATTGGTATGACAACTTTGCCGGTCTTGCCAGCCATATCGGCGAGCTCGTTGCCAGGTATGTGCTTCCCCAACGCTCTCGGTAGCCCATCTTGCTTCTCACGACGCTGACAAAACCTGTAGTTTCCCCGACACCAAGATCTGGATCACCGAGTACGCCTACGCCAACCAGGATCTTTCCACTACCCAGGAGTTCTACAACATGAGCGCCGACTACTTTGATCGCATCGACTATATTGAGCGGTACTCCTACTTTGGCGCCTTCCGTTCCAAGACGAGCAACGTCGGCCCTAACAGCTCTTTCCTTAACAACGACGGCAAGCTTACCGACATTGGCGCATGGTACCTGGGAATGAGCGCTACCGGAGTCAATCCCCAGTCTGGGAGCAAGAGTGCTGCCGCTCGAGGCAGCGCACCGATGCTTGCTGCGCTGGCAGCGACTATTGCCGGTATCGCGTTTACCGTTACCTCATGATTCAAGTGAGCAGCGTACATTCATAATGAGAGCAATTGGAAAGGATCCACTTCCTCATCACGACATAGAACGGGAAATAGTACCAGCATCAACTGATCATCTGCCCCATATGTGGATTGGGTATAGAGACAGTTCCCCGACATGAGTTTTACAATTGTAATGTCTTTATTTGTCGAACTGGAGCAAACATAGAATAGGGGCGAACAGAATGTATATAGACGATGGGCGGTTGTAGCCCCCGGGGATTTGAAACGGTCTGAGAGGATACATTTTAGAGTCGGTGGACATAAATGATTTTATACGAATGCAACAGGGATCTCTCTCTCGCTTCTTCTTCATTTTTTTATCCTTTTTTTTAACCCTTCCTCTATCCCCGGCTATGCTATCAATGCGTTGTATTTACCCTCGGGCTAAAGTCGGCATATTGACCGAAAGTTATAGCACGATCAACAGTCATGTTCGCGCCCTCAGAACCACACTTGTGTGCCATACCGATGGTCTCATCCCGATACAGGACATTTTGTCGGTAAGGACATTCGTTGTAGGACTCAACAAAGCAGCAGGTCTGAAAGTTGACCAAGTAGATGGGCCGCCGGAAACGCATCTTTAAAGCAGAGCAGAGCAGAGCTTTGATACACTGATGATGGTGGCTGTTAGCGAGCAGGTCCCTAGACCGGCTAATCTCTAACACGCAGTAACGACTCGTGCGCGCTACTATACCCCAGACCCAGCGCTACCTGGACGCTGAAACGTTACTGGTCCGACTCAGTGACCGAGATGCCTCGGTCCGTTTGTCATTCCCCCACAGCCGCTGGTCTTGGCTGGGGGGACATGCTTGGGGAACGATTGCCGGCAGCTTAAGCCGCCATGAACCACGTCGTCTACTTTATGGCCCCATCCCCGCCCTCCCCTCTTCCATGAACAGAGTCGGAACCTCTTGAGCTTGTTTCTCCTCTGTTGCTCCTTTTATTCTTCACCCCTTTGTTCTGTTACTTCTCCGACCACAGTTATACCCTCCCCCATCAGACATCATGGCTCTCGAGAGAATCGGCTCCATTGTGAAGCACCTGGCCCCAGGAAGCGCCATCAACCAGATGTACGTCTGTCCGTCCGCACTTGTGATTGCCGCCGTCCCCTCTCCCCCCCCCAAGACACTTTCGATCCCTCCCCTTGTGGACCAACCAGCGACTGACATATTCGTCTCTGTACAGCCAATCCAAGAACCCCGATGATATTGTCATCACATTAGCCATCCGCACGCCTCTAGCCAAGGCCAAAAAGGGTGGCTTCAAGGACACGACCCTCGAGTACATGGTCTACGCCCTCCTCAAGGAGGTTCGCGAGCGATCCAAGATCGACCCCGCCGTGGTTGAGGATATCTGCATGGGCAATGTACGTTGTGATGGCGCACTCGCGACAGCTTTCCCCCAAGATTTATCACAGCAATTGACTCCCCGATCGCCAGGTCTCGGACGGCAAAGCCGCCTACAAGCTCCGCGCCGCCGCACTTGCCGCGGGCTTCCCCAACACCGCCGGTGCGTCGTCGGTGAATCGCTTCTGCTCTTCGGGCCTCAAGGCCACGGCCGACATCGCCAACGCCATCAGCGCCGGCGACATCGAGGTCGGCATCGCACTCGGCGCCGAGCAGATGTCCGTCGGCGGCGACGCTCTCGACAAGCCCTTTGACGAGGCCGTCACCTCGCAGAGCCAGGAGGCCGCCGACTGCATGCAACCCATGGGCTGGACCTCGGAGAACGTTTCGCGCGACTTCGGCCTCAGCCGCGAAGAGCTCGACAAGTACGCCGCCGAGAGCTTCCAGCGTGCCGAGAGGGCCCAGAACGCCGGCTGGTTTGACGACGAGATCGTGCCCATCAAGACAAAGGTCGTCGGCCCCGACGGTGAGGCCAAGGAGGTCACTCTCACAAGGGACGAGGGTATCCGGCCCGGCACGACCCCCGAGAGCTTGGCCAAGATCCGCGCCGCCTTTCCCCAATGGGGTCCCACCACCACGGGAGGCAACGCCAGTCAGGTCACTGACGGAGGTGAGTTCACGCGGCCTTCCCCCTTTTCTGCTCTTCTGTCATTCATTTCTTTTTCCATCTACACTGTGCTGACCAAGCGCAATTCGAAAAAGCCGCCGCCGTCCTACTCATGAAGCGCTCGACGGCCGTCAAGCTCGGTCAGCCTATCCTGGCCAAGTACGTCGGCTCCACCATCGCCGGCCTGGCCCCACGTATCATGGGTATCGGTCCGTCCATCGCCATCCCGAAGCTGCTTTCCCACTACAACCTGTCCCTCAACGACATCGACGTCGTCGAGATCAACGAGGCCTTCTCCAGCATGGCAGTCTACTGCCGCGACACCCTCGCCCTTGACTGGGCCAAGATGAACCCCCGCGGCGGCGCCGTCGCCCTCGGCCACCCGCTTGGCGCCACCGGCACGCGGCAGATCGTCACGGGCCTGAGCGAGCTGCGCCGGACCAAGAAGAAGATCCTGCTCACGAGTATGTGTATTGGTACGGGACAGGGCATGGCGGGTCTGTTTATCAACGAGGTCGTTTAAAGTAGTGGGGAACCCGGTTGGCTATGTGACTGTATGAGGAGAATATGCATCGCAGAATGAAAAAAAATTAAGTGTATGACCACCAAGATTCCCTTTTTTTTTTTTTTTTTTTTTTTTTTTTTTTTTTTTTTAAATCATTCACCCCCTGGGGACATACCGAGGTTACGTTTCTACGAAACCACGACGTGTATTCATGGCATTTGGTGAGATCTGCTCTGGAAATTCGAATGCGCACTGCCTTTTATATACTGTCTATGTACGTGTCCATAACGCATGTGATGACCTCGTGAAACATACAGCGTTTGTGCCGGGAGACCAGTAGAAATACTGTCCAAGAAGTGAAAGTCTTGACGCCTTTTCTCGCTTCGAATGCTGGTTTCCAAACGCCCATTCTAAATGCAAACTGCTCCGGGGGAAATGAACAAAAATCAGTGAGAATAAAAGCGCTCCGTTTACGGGTTCGTAACTTCGTTGACACTGTCCTCAAATTCGGTCATCTTCAACGCTTCTTGGACATCAGACACGAAGTGCGACTCCCCGCCGACCAGGTCAATGATGCCCGCTTGCCTCAATAGTCTCCAGATGTGATGGCGCGGGTTGGTGGGGCCGCGGCTGAAGAACACCCTGACGCCACGCTCCTTGTACCCGCTCACGATCTCCAGCAGCACCTGCGTGCCGGATCCATCCAGCGATGTCACGCCGTGAATATCGAAGATGACGTTCTTGTTATGATGCTCACCCCGCAGTCTCGGCAGGGCGGGGTGTGCCATGCTCGTGCCGTACAGTTCCAGCCTCCGGAGGCGCGCCTTCAGCTCGCCCGTGTTGGCAAAGGTCAAGGGCTCCGGGATCTTGACAATGAAGCAGCCCTCGACAAACTCCAGTCTGTCGGGGTTCAACTCGGCGTTCTCGAAGCGATGCGTACCGGGGATGCGGCCCAGGATCTGGATGCGAGGGCGAGTCGAGTGTTTGATGACCTGGAGCAGAGATAGGCCGACCCCAATGGCCATGCCGAGGGTAAGCGAGTAGAAGATTGTCGAGACGAAAATGATGGCCATCAGCGCCAGCTCGGTCCAACCTCGGATCTTGAAGAAGAACGCGATGTCGTGAGGAGCCTCTTCGAGCAGTGACCAGGCCACGACCGTGATCATGGATGAGAGGACGGGTTTCTGAACGTGTTAGCGAATGAGTACCCTAGTCAAGACGGAAGGACATACCGGCAGGTAGGCAAAGTACGGCAGCAGGAAAAACACGGCGAAGAGCGTGATCATGCTGAGAAAGATGGAGCTCATGGGCGTCTTGCCACCCGTCTGCTTGTTCAGTTTGCTTCTTCCATAACCGCCAAAGGCAGGCAAACTCATGAAGCAGGCCCCGACAACGTTGGCAGCGCCCAGTGCCACGAGTTCCCTGTTGGGGCTGAGCTGGACCCCTTGCACACTATCAGAGCTGCTGAGGCTCTTGGCCGCAACGGACGATTCAAAGAAGCCCAGAAGCGCAATCAGGAAGGACGTGCCCATGGCCTCGCGGATGTGCTTCATGTGGGCAGTCTGGAAAGGCCAGCGGAAGGCGAAGAGATGTCCCGACGGCGCCTTGACGGGTCCTAGGATCTCGACACCCTTGCTATCCCAGTCAAAGTACCAAGACAGGATGGCGGCAATGAGGACGACAAAGAAGCGATCGGGTATGTACGCAACCCCAGGATACTTGGGCTGGAGGTGCTTCTTGACTTCTCTCATCGTCATCATGATCACGAAGCTGACTCCGGCAACAATGAAGGTGAGCTTGTGGACATGGTCGAAAGAGTTGAAGATGAATTCCAGCTTGTCCATGCTACTCCCGTGGCTCACGCCCGCTTCCGCCGCGTACTCGACAAGGCCGAGCTCAGGAATCGCCTGGTCCACGGCAATGACGAAACCAATGGCAGAGATAAAACCTCGCAGGAAAGGTTTGCTGAGAACGCTATCAAGAAAGCCCAATCGAGCCAGTCCAGCGATCAAAACCGTAGCACCGGCCATGCCCGCTACTACTCCGCAAATTTTGGCTTGCACCTCGGCATTGTACTCGTCGCCCTGGTCTTGGTCGATGCTACCTCTGACCACGGACCCAACCAACAGAGAGCCGGCAGCTTCCGGGCCGACGACCATCTGCGGCGCGCTACCGAATATGGCATAGATGAAGGGGTTGAAGACGAAGGCATACAGTCCGTTGATCGGAGGAACATGTGCCAGGTTGTCGGCAAGCGAGAGAGCCATTGGCAGGTAAAGGGACGCGAGAGTCAAGGCTGCAACGAAATCTCCCTTCAGGTAGGACCACTTGTATTGGGGCAGCCATGTCAGGAGGGGAATGTAGTAGGAGAGATACCTGCAAAGCAGACTTTTGTTAGCCAGCGAACCCGTGTTTTTCCCTGGCACATGCAAACTTACATCCAGAGGTTGTCCTTGAAACCGGCCTGCTCTGCCAGGGTGCTCGAGGTATGCATCTTCTTGCTCTTGATGCTCCTTATGAAGCGCCTCCTCCAATGGTCGTCACCGGTGATGGCAGTCAACATAGGGTCGAGAATGGGGATCTCAGACGCCGAAGACGAGGCGTGGTCGCTCCCGACAGAGCTCACGGGCCGAGGGGAAAAGGTGCCATGAGTATAGCTGTTGGAAGACGGATTGTCGATGAGGACATTTTGAAGAAGACTCGTCGACTCGCTTGGCGGGGAGGTATTCGATCGGGCGGGACCAACGCCAGGGCGAGGAATACCGCGAAATTCGTTATCAGTGGGAAGCGGAGTGGCGAGCGGAGTGGCATCCTCGCGAGTGCTTAGGTATTCGGATTCGCCGCCGAGAGAGTTAGGAGACTGGATAGGAGAGCCCATCGTATAGCTCTGGCGCAGCGCGCTGGGGTTCGCTGGGCGATGAGTTGTTTGCGAAGAAGGACTGCGGCTCGGCGGAGGTCGACTTCCTGACATTTTCGTACCGTACGACCCCAAACAATATGACGTTACAGGCTAACCGAGAAAAAAAAACATGCGAGGGGTTGCGGTATGAGACCCCCCGGGTGCGACTCTGGCGGGGCTAGAGATGGAAGGCTCAAAAACGCAGATCGACTCTCGGAGGTTGCAGTGGACTCGGCGACAACAAACTAGCTTTTTTGCTTTTTTTGGTGTTCCTGGGGAGATCGAGAGAGTGCCAAGTTTAAGTCGCACAAATTGGCGACGGGGGATGGATGCGACGGGGAGAGAGAGTGTGGGTGTGTGAGGCAAGGTCGGAACAAAAAAGAGCGGTGATGGGATGGATGACAATACCGGTATCAGTTTGCTGCAACCGCCCCGGGCCAGACCATGTAAAAAAGGGGGTAATTTGTCACACCAAGGCTGACTCGTCGTAGCTTTAGACGATGGCGAAAGTTGGAATCTATTATGGCATTCTTAGAGGAGACGGGGCGGATTGGCAGATGGAGCAAAGCGGTCGGCGAGGGTGGTTTTTCCCCCCAAGACAAGGATTGCCATTCCGCAGTCGCTCACGAGGATCGGAGTGGCATCAATGCGCGATGGGGATCAAGATTGGGTGTGTCAGCAAACTCGATTTGACGACACGACGGGGCCATGGGATGGTTGGTTTTGTCTGATGTTACGTACTGATTTGCCTGCCATATTTGTAGGTATTTGTACGTGTATGCTGCCGTAATCCTCCTTGCTTCAGTGTTTAGCGATGTACCTTGGGTAGTTTAGGTACCTACCTACCTACCTCCCTTGGTGGACAGGGGCTACCGGCAAACACATTCCGCGGCGAACACAAACGCTGCCAGGCAGGTATTACACCACACCGCTTTGGGAGGATGGATGCACGTGAACCACTTTTCCTTTCGCCGCATTACCCCGCTGTGCCATTCGTACCCACCCGACCCCGATCATATGCCCCTCTTGTTACGTAGGTAGGCTGTCGCACTCGCCAGCTACCTACACTGCGGAGCACCACATATCTTCAACCCTTATCTCTATCATCGGCCCCTCCCGAGGTCGAGCGGGCTCAAGCCGGTCGGGCAAAAGTATCGTATACCTATACATAGTAGATAGGTACTACGTAGTGTACATCCTTCCCAAGTATGTCGACGAACGACGAACGACACCTTCCCCTGCCTTCTCTGGCTGGCCCAAACGCCACGTGATCTGGATGTCTTGCAGTATCACAAACATATCGTGATGGATCTCATCGGAGGTACTGCGAATCAATGGGTTTGCATCAATCACAAACGTCCGCTCCATGCTCCCAATGTTAAGGGCTCGGGGTTTGCTCGCGGATGCTCATGCTGCTTACACTTTTGCGAGGCAATGAGAACCCTTCGACAGGGCTTCAGTTGAACACGAACGGATTGTTGGCCGTCAAACACATAGCCCGAGGTACATTAGTCAAACACATCTCGTTTGCTAACAAGCGCCCCCACATCTTCAGCAAGCAATGATGCATGTCGATTTCAATGGTGCCGTGCTGCACCTAGCTACGGGCAATCATGCGGCCTTTCAGCCAAAGGATCCTCGAGGTCTTTCAACTCCTCCCTGCCCCCAAACTCCCCTGTATCTTCGACATTCAATCTCAAATCCAGGGCGTGATCTCATTCCTAGCCTCAAGATAATCACAAAGACCTCATGCACGATCCTATTACTCGTCACCACGGCTGTGGACGGTCGCAGATCCTGAACTAGACCAACAATCGACATGGCATTGTGATTGGCCGCTGTGCACCGACGCACATGTACCTCTGGGATCCCACCTGTTTGCTGGGCGCTTCTTGTGCCAATCCCGGCTCTTCCGGGGACCGATTCTCGTCACAATCACATTCGGGCCCATCACTTAGACTTTCGACACAGCAAACATCGTGAGCGCAACCCCTGGCCGATATCACCAAAGAAAGCTGTTATGCCGAGTCATTCATCAACACTCGGGGGCCGTGGCATCCTATGGGCGAATCACTGCTTGATTTTCTTGTTTGTGACAAACATGCGCATATTGTCACCACCGTACCGCAGTCCAATAGCACATACGACAAGCTGCACGACGTCACGCGGGGGTTTTTGCGCGACTTGTCTCCTTCCTTCTCTCGTGATTCCATTTTGATCACAGCTAGCGTGTAATGATGCTTATATAGAAGACTATCGGCGCATGCCTTCTTCCCTCTGCTTGCACTGCGCCCACATCGCTTCACAGTCATTGACAAGCTTCTGGTAGCTTCTCACTGAACATTGGTTATATATTGCATCTCAACAACACGATCTTATTGTACTGTCTTTCTGCTGTGTCAATAGGCAGCAACCATTTCACAATGCGTCTCTTCACCAAAACACTCCTCGAGGCCATCATTCTATGCCTTGTTACAGTAATTGCCGCATCTAAAGACGGATATAAAGACATGGTGCCTCGAACCTTCATCAATGCGGACGGCACTGACTCAACCATCCATGTAAATCGCCGGCTTCAGTTCACCCAAGGAAGCGAAAGCACACGGCCAACGCGGCTCTCCAAACGCGTTGTCTTCTCGCCCGGAAGAGTCGAGTGGTGCGGTGAGGTGGCCGAGGACCCAGCGACAGACTTTTCGGCTTCAGCTCCTTCGGCCGAGGACTGCCAGGCCCTCATCAACTCATTGGGGGACCAGGACGGCTTCTGGACGTTGCAACCCAACGACTTCTCCTCAGACGGCTGGGCCCGTATTGTGAGCTCGGGGTCGTGCGCTTTTGCGGCAAGATATGCCGACTCTGGTAGTACTGGCAATCCAATGAGAATCGGTACCAACGATATTCTCTTCTATACGACAAGATATCTTCCCTTGGCCCAAAACGGGAAGCTTGGGCTGCAGGGAACTGTTCAGTGTAACAATGCCGAAAAAATGCTTTTCGTGACCTGGGGGTTACTCAGCAGCTAATATATGCAGCGAAAAGCACAAACATCAAGCAGGAGTAACCTGTGAATTCATTACAGATTTGGTTGCAAGACGTGCCTGGCAATCCTGATAATTACCAACCACATCGATCTCGGACTATAAAATGGTTGTCAATTAGAATGAATATTCAGATATTAAGCAAGAAACAAAAACTTAATATTCCATATTTCAAGTGGCTCAAGTAGATGAATCGCAACCCTTACAATTTCCAAAGCAAAGTATTTGAAAAGAAGCTTCGTTAATGAGCGTTAAAGAATCCCTCTGTTCGTGACTACCTCAGAGAAACGAGGCATACGCCATGGCTTGGCTTTTCCAGATGTACCTTCGCTCTTCAGGCAGTCGAGACAGTTGAAAATGCCCCTCTGCTTAACAATCCTTTTTGCTCCATCACTGAATTAGTGAGATAGGTTGTGGTCACCGTATTCGTTTGGAGAACAGCCGCAGCGACTTGTCACATTTGATCACTGGAAACTCGCCAAGGTGATTTGGGGTTGGTTGACCGCTATTTCCAGAAGGTTGCAAAACTTGTACGTTGCAAAGTCGATGGGCGCTGGACTTTCGAACAGTCTCAATGTAAACCCCAAATGCCCTCGCAAACCCCGGGCATAGGTATTGTGAATTGTACAACACTTGATGCCATGCCATTGGGGCGATGGGACCTTGGTAGAAAGCGCTGCCTCATTCGTGTCGTTTATCTTCTGGATAACCTGCCTTTTTCAGGTTTGTATTAAATATAGGAACTTGGGAATAGGCTTACGAATGATATCGTGCCTCAGCAGAGGATGACCTGCAAGTATCTTGACTTGGTCCGAAGTCGATAGAAAGGTGCCTTCATGCTGCAGTAATATCCTCCAGGACACTTCTGAGAACCTAAGGAGGAGGTCGACTACATACGAGAATATCAATGGTATCAAAATTCGATTATTGGCTGCACGTTCTTGTCGTAACCCTGGAGCTAGTCTCTGATCCATATCATCCCGCCATACTTTAGTGCTCGGATGGATTTGTACTAATCACCGATTAGGGACAATTTAGAAAGACTTGTTGTTTCTGACCTCGGACTAACGTAGACGGTGTGAAAAATCTGGCACAGAGTAGCCATTGCCTCGATATGATCGATGGGGAGGTTGGTGATGTACGCGTTCTTGAAGCCGGGAATTTTGGCAAGCTCGGCGGCCTCTTTGAACTTCTTGCCAAGCATTGTTTTGAAAACTGGCGAAGTCAGCATGAGAATCTTCGACAATACTCACGGCTCATCATTTGCGACCTGTGCACAGTTCAAAGGCTTCTTATTGACGCTCTCATCGGTTTCTTCGCGATCGGCAACGTCAGCACCGGCATTTTCAAGTCCCATGCCACTCAACTGAAGGATGAGGTCTTCATCCTTATCAATCCCACGGCGATTAGGCATGCTCTACTGGAGTAAAGAGGAGGCAATGAAAAGAGTGGCTGAGATTATAGTAGGATCATGATGGTGTCACTAAATCCGTTGTTTCATATTTTGATGTACTCAAGTCCATGGAAATGATAGCTTCCATCTACGTGGATGCACTAGTATCCACACTCCACTTCTTGATTGAGTGCTGTGAAAAGGCCTCTTGAGTGATCAAAACCCTATGCATTTAGAAGGTCAAGGCAAATATGCAAACCATCAGCTAACAGTCAGTTACGTGGCTTTCCCATTTTCTTCCTACAACAGCCATCACCAATCTAAGTCATTGCCTATCGAGTTCCTGATTAAATGCGCAACGTTCAACAGTTAGACCTTTGTAAGCTATCCGACTGCTGCTCAGCAAAAGGCGATTCCCCTCCAGCGGTTATAAAAGGCAATCAACTCAAACCCGGTATCTCAATCTACCCCTGTAAGGAATTGGTCTTACAGATCATCCACTCTGTCCATGAATCACAGTAGTAAAATCTGACCGTTCCTTGGTCACCAAACATAGCGGCCATGGCTCGAGACTCCCCTTGTGCAGCAAGTTGCAAATTGACTAGAAAACCAACCAAAGAGGTTCCTAATCTCGTGCTGCCAAAAGCTGATTACAGTCATAATTTCCCTGTGGATGGGCCGTCCCACTTCTTCACGAGCCACTGAATCTTAGAGCATGTAAGCACAAGTCGGCAGGGGTGGATTTTCCTTGTTCTGTTCCAGGCTCTGAGGGTATTGTCAAGGACATCTTGACACAAAGAATCATGGCTAACTGCATTCAGGAATCGAAGAGGGTTGGTAAGACCGACGGCTTGCCGAAGCCACATCTCGTATAGTGGCCATTAAAGCCTCGACCCGAGACACTTATCCAGTAGGCACTCATGGCGCCGTCAGTAATGGAGTAAGTCGCCGTTGCCTGCAGTCAACTTGCCCAAGAGCAGACCTAACCATGACTGTGTTCCAATAAAAGCTTATATCTGTGGATGGATGATAATTAAGCAGTTTATGTATGGGTCTTATGCAGTCGAGGTAAAAGAGAAGGCTCTCACTCATGGCCTGGACATCGTGGACTGTAATCTAGACCCGATAACATGTCACTGCTACCCAGACCATCGTTCTGATCGTGTAATGGCGTCACGAAGCAATGGGATATGGGGTGTTCTGTTCGCCCGGTCCATGAAAGTATGGCGCCAGACATGAGAGACATGCAGCTGCATGTCCGAGGGATGCCCGATTGGCTACGGGAGCTTGCAGCAATTGAGACTCATGGTTTAGGAAACATCTCATTAGAAGAGACGTCATGGTTTACATAAGGGCGTCTTCTTGAATATTAATATTAATATACATAAACCATGTCGAAAGATAGTTTCCTTGGCTAAAAACTTGCCAAAGGTGAAGATTTAAGAGGCCAAAAATTATGTAAAGAAATCTGTGGGTTCAGCGGATTAATAAAAACCAGTCCTTCAGCAGGTTTAAATCTTAGTATTACTCAATTCAGCGGCATCCAAAACGGCCGTAAATGGCTCGCGACCTGACCGTGTTGAAATCCATGTCAACACCAAGATCTCTACATTTTCAAATGACGGAGTGGTAGGCCAGTGGTAACGGTGACAGAATACAATTGAGGCCAATTAAAATAAATCCAAGTGAACGTTTGAAACCGTACGAAGGCTTTTATCGTTTCGCCATCCTCGTGGCGCCATATCGTAGTCCTCGTCCCTGCCCTTCCTCGACATTGGCCATTGGCCCTACCGTGCTTTTAGTTTTATTGCTGTCATTTACTCGCTCCGGGATCTTCTCGAGGGTACTTTTTGATGATATTCTCCTAGATATATCCCATACCCGTGGGGGATGCTTGTGCTTCTGGAGGTCGTTTCGGCCGAGCTCGCAGTCCATACACTGCTCCTCCGCCGTCCTTTGGGGGAGGGCGCATCTTCGGTGATCCCAGCATCCGCGCAATGACCTAAAAATACATTCTGTTAGCCTCATGTAACCAAGACGGCAGACACCACGAGGAAAATAAACCCACGAATGTTACCGGCCCCGCCTCCCCCAAAAGACACGCGGCGGCCACTTTTGATGTTCAACTCATTCATTGCAATCAACAGTATAGCAATAGTGGCAGTGATGGCGTTCAAGTTCTCAACTGTGTAATCCAACCTAGCACCAAGAGACACATTCATACTTATGGCCTAGGGACTAATAGGTCGCACCCGTTGACAACACTTCCATCATGACGAGTCGTGGGCCCTCGATTCGCCCCGTCCCTTCCACATTTCCCTTGTCTCCGGTAACCGATCACCCCGCCCCCGCGGAAGTGGGCACATTGAGTCAAACTGATGCGGGTGATGTAAGATTCCCGCAAAGCTTAATCCGTTCCTTCTTAGCGTCGTGATATATATCCAAGATAGCAAACCGCGAAGAGACTGGCGAAGGAGACGAATACAATCATCCGTGACAGCCCGAAAAAAACCGCCAATCATATTTTCTTCAAGGTGATTTCTCAATCCGCCAAGTCCAAAAACGGCTTCATACTGGTCTGTTGCCTGGCGTCGCTCTTTGAAAGTTTGTCTTAGGGACTTGATTCCATGCCAATGGTAGAGTGGCCCTCGAGACCCTTTGGGGTCCCTTTGAGGATTGTCATTGGGCGAATTCCGTCAAATTTCCCACGTTCCCCTTATAGGTAAGCAGAGGTGGTTCAGGCTAGAGCCATAGGGAGTTTGAGGCTTGGGGTCGGGTGGATGTATGTGCGGTATGGACATCATGACGGCCCCGCTATCGGCACCCTACCTCTCGCAGGCCCGGATCCGGCAACCACCCCCGCTCTGTCGGAAACGGATGTATCCCAGCACATCGGCTCACTCACCAGCGAGAACCTGGGATAATTCGTCTTTGGCTAATGTATGGGCTAACGAGAAGAGGTATGGCGGCCGCTGAATAAGGGCTGGCGTGCTGGCAGAAACAGGGATCTGGAGGTGGCAAAAGCAGGGGTTAGTCATGTACGTCAGCATGAAGTTAAGGCGTAAGAACAGTGAAAAAAGGGCAAGTGGGTAAGTGGGTAGGCTGACCGCCTTCCATGATAGGCTTAGTTAATGGGCAGCCGCCATATCTCTTCTTGTTAGCCCATACATTAGCCAAAGACGAATTATCCCAGTGTCTACGGTACAACATCCATCAAAGGACCGGACACTCGGTACGAGAATGGGTCCCAGAGCCCAAGGGCCTGGGCCGTTCCACTGTGACCATTAGATGCTAGACGCTCATTGCTAGAGTTACATTTCTGGAGTTGCACTGAAACAGGTTGATAAATGGGCGAGTCGAAAGGAAGCTTCCGGCACAGGATCAAGAAAGAAACCCACCAGCCCCGGGCTGGGCCTATAAAAAGCTAGAAGGACTGAGAGCGAAACGCTAGCAGTGATGGAGTGCATGGGCCTCAAGCCTGTTGCCTGCCCGTGTAAGTAGACACACCATGTTATCGGTGTTCCGCTTCTAGCGGCGCGCATGATAGGGCGGGCGCCAACTTTTGGACACTCCTAATTTCTTCCAGATGTCACATGTAAGAGATAAGGGTATTGAAACATTACGAGAATTAGATGGCATTAAGAACAGCATCTTGGTATTGCTTGTGTTGAAAGTATATGAAACGCAACTATCTACCAAGTTATCGCAGAGTATATGGATACCCAGAATCGGAAATCTTGTTCAGGAAGAATGTCCTTTGTACAGTGAAAGGCCCGCCAAGCAAAAAATGCACTTATGCTGTAACGTCGTAGTAGCACGAGAAGACGGGCCTCAAGTCCCGCTTGCCAGCGCTGTCGCTCGCCGCCCTGTTGTGATGTGATGTGGCGCCGTGACTCGAGGCAACACGTTGAGCTGGCGTCGTCAACGTCACGCTCCCTACGTATCCCTTCAGCTGCTCAGCCACCAACGCCGCCCTTGCTTTGCGCTCAAAGCTGACGATATCGTCAAACTCGTCCGACTCCTCCTCGTCGAGCTCCCCGGCGCTGCGGCGATGCGCCGCAAACCGAAGAGGCGTCTTGACGGCCTTGATCTTGCGAACAAAGTCTCGGCGACGGAGGTGGTATCTTGACGATCTCGGGCTCCAGAAGTCCTTCGACATTTCGCCGAGCTCCTGCGCACGAGCACAGGCCAGACCGGCAGCCGATACGTCGACTTTGCTCTTCCACACACCCGGGGCCAGCTTCTTTGGAGAAGCGAGCATGGACTTGATGAGTTTCCGCATGCGAGTGTCGAGAAGGGCGCCAGAGCCGGGGATTGTGTGATCGACCAAGCCCATTGTGCGGGCGTCAGTCGTCGACAGTGGTCTCATGTCACGCAACAGCTTGGTGGCGCCGGACGAGCCACATCTTCCGGTGTATGACAAGGAGTGGTATTCGGAGCCGTGGAGACCAATGGCGCGGTAAGCGGGGTTGAGGACCGCCTCAGTTCCAGCAAGGACGACGTCGCATGCGGCAGCCATGGCGACGCCGCCCGCTGCGCAGTTGCCTCTGATCCCGGCGACGGTAAGGATCTTGCGTGATGGAAACTCGTGTAGGAGGTGGTGTACCACATCGTCAATGCGGTTGATATTTAGCCAAGACTCGAGGGCCGGATCCGCAGCAGCCTCGATAACGTTCAGTGCAATGCCGTTGCTGAAGTAGCCTTCGCCTCCCATTAGTACAACGGCACTGAGTGGACGTTCCACAACATGGGTGGATATGATAAAGTCAAGGGCGCTAATCATGCGGGTGCACTGTTCCGTACTCATAGCGCCGTTGTAAAATTCGAAGTAGAGGAATGCAACCCGTCTGGCACCTGGAAAGGTCTCAAAGTCAACCCAAACGTCCTGCTGAGTAGTGTGCGGGGCTCGCGACCAGTCAACGGTGACTCGGGAGATGCAGTTTCGTGCGACGGCATCATCGTTAATGATACCCAGTTCCCGCAGACCTGAGACGGCTGGAACCTTGGGCCACAACATGGCGTCCGTCTTCTTCTTGACACGGCGGACGTGGGTGATCCAAACGGCCTTCTCATCGCATGTGGCGACGCAAACGGCGTCGTCTCGGTAAGCGATGATTTCTCCCGGACGCGCCTGGCCGATAAAGTCGTCGCTCTCCTCGATAGTACCGCCGTAGACGTATAGGGACGGGCCGAAGAGTTTGGTCAGGCAGCCTGGCTGGGAGTCCGAAGACCGAATCCTTCGCGATATTTCCCGAGCTGTGTGTGACTGGACGTCGAAGTCGCGTTGGGCAGCCTTGAGAAGGGGTCGGTGGCGCGTTGCTCCGCCAAGGAAGGCCTTCTGCAGTGTCACTGAGGCGTCGCGGTATGCTGGCATTGCTTGGAGGAGAGGGCTGACAAGGTGCGGGGCGAACTTCAGGTTACCGGGCGAGGGAGGTGGGGTGTAGGGTGAGGCGGCTTGTATACAGGCGGTTTGGATCCTCTCGATGGCCGCCAAGGTAGCCGTGAGCGCGGCCCGTGTGACGGGTCCGCGATATACGCTTGACTTTGTGATGTTGGGAGAATCGATCTGCAATGGGAACTGCTCGAACGCCCATACTGGTCCGGCATCGAACTCCTCAACGGCTTGGAGGACAGTGACACCCCAGTACGATCGTCCAAATTCGCTCCATGTGCCGTTCCGGATGATTGCCTCTGGGTCTGCCTCCGTTCCGTCGTCGCCCATCAACACCCAGTCCAAGGCACTAGGTCCGGCGTCACCAGGTGGACCGGGGTGGATGATCAGGGTTAGGTAGTTTCCATATACTTCGCGAGGGACCCGTGTAGTGAGGAAAGGGCAGATGATGAGGTGGGGCTTGAACAGCTTGGACGCTTCGATCATGGCTTCGTCTGAGAGGGCATATTCAATGGTGATGTTGTGAGACTTGGAAAGAGTCAGGTACAGGCGCTGCGACAACGAGTTGTGCGCGGTGCAAAGGAAAAGGATGTTCATGATGGCGGCGTTTTATGACACCAGCAACACTTGAGCCGAATGTAGAGTAGATAAAAGAGAGAAGGAAACCTGACGGGAATCCGGTTGCGGGGAGCTGCGGTTAACTAGCATCATATATGCCATTTTCAATGGGAGGGCGGCGGGCCGAGGGAAGGGGTGTGTATTTGTGTGTTAGTTCCGTCGGAGGCTTCAGCTCGGAGCTCACACCCCAAATAAAGTGGCTTCCACCCCTCCCGTTCCTGATCCTGACCGGTCGGCCTTGTGCGACATGGTGCTTAACGGCCCAACTCCTGTCGCTTGCCATGGAAAACGTTCCATAACCAATGCACCTTGCTTGTCTTTGGCCACTGTTTATCTTTGACCCGGCTGCTGCAAGTCGGGTACAGCAGAAACCGACACTGTGCTGATGTCGTCCTAGCTTGGAGTTGGCGGAACGCCTTCTTAGACCACTCCGGACGAACCGGGCTCGGACCTGACGGGCCTAGACCTAATCAATGTTGGCACCTTGGGACGGACAACCGAAAGTGGCGGCTTCGTGGGACAAGAGGCAGCTCTTTGACTCAGGGGCGCGTGCTGTATTGGGCGATTAGTCCAGGCCGCTAAACCATGGAGCAAAGGCCTTGTCGACTAGCGTCGTCAATGGCGATTTCTAGTCGGCACTGTCCATATGGACATAGCTAGGCAGCGCGTTACGAAGCCTCCGAACAATCAAGATCAGCATAATTCAAAGAAACCGTTCTTTGGTACAGCGGGTCTGGGTCAACTTGGGCCTCCCAGTGGATGCTTGAGCCAGATTTTGTCGCCGAGCACTACCCCCCTTCAGAACACTCGGCCGAGCTTCAATCATTTGAGTAACTTGAAGACGCTCCCAATCTCATTGGCGGTCATGAGGATTATCTGCAGATAGAGGGTGGGAGTGTGTGCAGCACTCCGCTTGACCCTTGGCAGCCACCATGTTCCCGTCTCAGGAAACTTCACCTGGGCGTCACAACCCGACTTAGTGTCTTCGGTCCTTGCCCCATGCTTTCAGTATCCGGCGTTGCCTGGTGTTTGCACTATTTCGATGTGACAAACAATGTGATGACACAAACCAAAGAGTCTCCAGACAACTTCACACCCAAATCAAGGCTTGCTTCACTATCAGGACATCCCTGACATTTCCGCAACCGTCGTTCTAACAAGTCCGCGAACCTGGTAGCAGGACACTGCCGGGCGTGGCGTACCGGTACTCTGGAGGCCTTAGACATGAATCGGTGGACGGCCAACATCCAATAGTGTGTCACGTCTGCAGGTACTGCCGAGGATTTGTTGCCAGCCGGTCACACCCCAAACGACACTGCAATACTGTCACCTTCGTCTGGAGTGACGGCAAGCTCCAGTAGCTCATGAGCCCTATCCACCGTGTCGGCATCGATGGCCGCTTCGTACACCAAGTCTTCCTCAGCAAAGTTGAGTCTCGAAAGAGAGAGAATGTACCGCTGAGAACCTCCATGTGATATTGAAAGCTTGTTTAGAATGTTGGCGGCGTTTGCCGTAGTCGGATCCGTCACCAAGGTATGTAGTAGCAAGATGATTTGCGATATCAGGACGGACGGGTCATTACGGCCGTCACCCCAGTCGTCGGCACTGCTGCGGGGGTCGTCCGGGGTAGCACTCACGGCCCGGTCCCTGCGTGTGTTGCAAGAAACGCCACCAACGGTATTCACCACAGGGGTAGAAACGTCGTACAGAATATCCACTAGCTCACTCAACGCTGTGACTAGACGTGGGATGACGCTGACGTGGCCGGCAATCTGTCGTGCCCCATACGGGGTACCAGCGAAGGCCATGAGTGTCCGCAGAACTGCAAATCTTACAGCGTGTTTCTGAATGGTTGAAGCAGCGGCTCGAGGAAAATCAACCAGGTTGAGAGACACTTTATCAATGACCATTCTGGCGACCAAGTCGGGCTCTTTCCCAGAAATGATAGGGCCAATGGAGTTTGGTAGTGCGGAAGTGCAAAGCATGTCGAGCATGCCAATGATGTCGTCCAAGCGTTGCTTGGGCGTGAGCAAAATCAGAACTAAATCGAGTGTGATCAATTGCCAAAAGCCAGCTTGCCTCATTTGCGCGCCGTTTTCCGTCTCTGTCAGAGTGGTAGCACAGGCGGCAGCGGAGGCATATAGAAGAGATAAAATGTATGTCGTGTCAACCTGCTGCTGCATTGCTTCCGTGCTAGGATCGGATGAAATATTACCATCTATGCTCTTGAACCGTGCTTCGGCAACCTTGTAAATGGACTGCTGCAGGACCGGGACGGATTCGTTGATGATTTGCGGTGCCACGGATATAGTCTGTAGCTGGAGAGTGAATGAGAGAAGCGAGGCCAAGTCCCAGATCGGTCGTAGAAAATCCTCGTCCAAACACTGGCTCCACATACGGATGACAAGGTTGGCGAAGTCTATTAAAAGCTGAACCGGATTCAACGGGTTGCCCATCAGAGGTAGTTCCCGAAAGATGAGAGAAGCAAAAGACGTCGTAGGATCAGAAGGATAGGAGTAGCGTGACAAGATGTCAAAGGTAGGCGGCTCTCCATGTAGAGACCCATGATCCAAGATGACTTGGAGGAACTATATTAGCCGTTAGCGATGAAGTCGGGAATTAATGGGGAAGACATCGTATATACTTCAAAAGGAAGAGCATTTGGGCCAGGGGCCGTATAACGAAGTGCGGACGTGGCAGTCGTCACTTCGTCCAGCATGATGACGTCCCCGGCGTGAGTTTCCAGCGCCATGGCCGGACTGTCAACTGTTGGTCGTTTCCGTTTGTTTTTGGTAGGTGTCCTATCGGACAAAGGCACCGCGACGGGACCGACATCCCGAGACTTACCCTTCGTCTTGCTCGGGCTCTGGGCAATTTCCATGTTATCAAAACCGTCGGCCATGCCCCATGTCTTGGCCGTCTTCTTGGGGGTGGTGATTCCCGGTGCTGCAGGCATTGGAGCGATCTCTCGCGGCCGAGGACGACTTGACACCTCCTTAATATCACGCTGCAAAAACTGCAACTCGGTAGTGGCCTGCCTCTCGGCAGCAATGGCAGCCTCGGCAGCCCTTTCCTGCTTGGCGACCTGTTCGGCATTCTGCCTCTTTAGACGGGCAACCTCGGCGGCATGGTCTTGTGCGGATTTTGTGGAGTTGTTGCGTATGATGGTGACCTCACCACGGGCAGAGTTGAGCTCAGACTCGAGGGCCTTGACCCTTTGTTGCAAGGCAGCGACGACATCGTTGCCGATCGCCTCATGGACTGGCGGCTGAGACTGCTGGGTATTGAAGCGTAAAGAAACGGGAGGAGGGGGAGGTCGGGCGTAATGACTTGGATTGGGTTGATTAGGTGCCCCGACGGTTCGGGGTAGAAAGGGCTGCGAAGCACCCGAATGGTATTGAGGCCATGAGGAGAGGACGGGCGGCTGGGCGGTTGGCGGTGCAGGGTTCCATCGTTGCTGCGGCGGAGGGTGTCTAGGTGGTTGAGGCTGGTGGTGAGCAAGGCTCTTGTCGGCGACCGGACGGGCAATTGAGGGTAAGAGCTCGTTGGTAACCTCGGTATCGTCGAGGTCGTCGTCTTCGAACTCGAGGTCGTCGTAAGTCTCGATTTGAGAACGGTCATAAGCCTGCGAGTCGGTCTTGCGCTGTATCTGGGTGAACTGAATGGCGTTGTTCTCAAGCTCTTGGAGGATGGTGTCATTCAGGTTGTCCAAATCGTCGTCGGAGAAATCATCCATGGTGTTTGCGCGGCGTCAATCTGTGGATCAAAGATCCATTGGCGGTTGACGGTGTTGGGTTAGATGTGAAGGCATTTCTGTTGTGAATAGTGACAGATGCGATGGGCAGGCGGCGCCAGGCGAGTTAACCAGGACTTTTCTTATCTTATCGGCAGTATTGTCGCGGGACACGACGCGGCAATACCTAGCAAACGCGTCGCCTGGAGGAGAGGAGAGGGAAGTGGCACACAGCCACATGATGACTCCAGCCACAAGCCACCCGTAATCATGTGGCTGGGTTGTGGAACGGCCAAAACCAGCGAAAACAACCCAGACGAATGCGGCCGCCTATTTACAGCTGCATTACATCTTAGGGGTTTTCTTACCTTTGTTATTATTATTATTATTTTGTCATTATTGTTTTATTATTACCTTAGTATTGTTGCTCAGCGCCCGGCAGAGAAAGGAAAGTAAAAGAGTGAGCTCACGTGAGCCTTGGCCGACGGAACAGAGAGAGTTTGACAGAGCTGTTGGTTGATGTTGGCTGATTGGGGCCAAAGTCAGCTTTTACCCTACTACACGCCAACCTGCACTAAGGCAGTTACCGCACCAATACTAGATAATCAGCAGACTACCTACCTACGGACACTAGGCATTAGGAACGAGGTGGGAGGACGGCATGTGATGATGTCAACCAGCATCGCTCAGCATTAATCCGACGTGGCCGAAGGTGGGATTCTGTCCAATGTCGAGCGAATAGCGGGCCACAGGACTACTCAACGTGGTTGTGGCCCCAATGGTATTTACCGGTCGTGCTCTGGGTAGCCCGGCACGAGCATACATATACCTACCGGTAGGTATATTTACTACGTTTAGACGTAAACTGTTCGGTCTCAGAAAGTAAATTAAGGTTAGTCCCTGAGATGGGATCGTCGAGCAACTCAACAGTTTTGCTAGTCACACAGGGGATGCTACCTAGTATTGCACTGCTAGGTTTACTAGGTATATAGGTAGGGAGTACCATGTAGGTACTATAAAAAAGCAAGGTAGTTTTAGGTAGGTACTCCGTAGTTAGGTTGGCAATCTGGAATGGATGAGTGGGTGATTGGGCCCAGTAAAAAAGAAATAAAAACAAAATACACAAAGAAGATACCCGTAATTCGACGGGAGCACGCACAAACACAAAAGCACGACCCTCATCATTCTTCAATCATCGCACTTGGGAGAACCTGGTGGGTGGCATGTGCGCGGCACCTTTTAATTACATGCTGTGTTTTTTCCCGCCAGGCCGAGTGGGTGGTGAGCCGCGAGTACTAACGACATGTGTGAGTTTGCTGGTGTTAAGGCTGAGCGAACAGGAAGGAAAGGAAAAACCAGCAAGTGGCTAACTACTACGGTACTTTATCTTGCCTACCTATCTAGGTAGCACACGGGTAGGTAGATACTACAGTACCTTGGCAAGTTGGCGGAGTTGACAATCGACCCGGAGCCCGAACCGAAGTGCTACGATAACATGTAATGTGTCAGTCTTATGTAAGCTCTGCCTAGTATGCACTGGCGAGCGATATGGAGGGTGGGTTGTGTATTGGGCACGGGCGGACTATAACGCACGCACGCACTAGTACGTATGTACTCCGTACTTATATCTGTACGGATATTAGGTAGGTAGATACGTTGCGTAAGCGTGTGTGCCAGCCCAACTCCGGGACCTCCCTCTGTCCCCCCCCCCGCCAAGAATCTAGAGGGCCTGACGTAACTCTTCTCCCTAGGTAGGTATCTGTCTAACCGAGGTGCATATGCACTAAGTAATTACATCGTCATCACCCCCGTACAGACCAGCTGCCTGGGCCCTGTTGCATACCTGCATTTGCTGAGTACTCGAGACATTTGGCGGATCAGTGAGGAGGGATGGAAAGAAGGAGACTCGAGGATGTCTTACGCCGCCTCCGGTGATTGCCTGCCAGCACACTACGCTGTACTAGGTAGGTATGGACGCTGGCTGTGCCGTGGCTTGCTCGCTCTGGGCCTCGGCGGTCGAGAAAGAAGAAAATCACCGGATGGAAAACATGAATAGCAATAGACCGGCAAGATGAACGGGTGAGAGGAGCACCGTGAGAGAAGGAACCTGAGAAATGGCATTGGCCATGCTTTGGGTGCCGAGGGAGCACACGTGCTGTACAAGATAGACGCATAAAGGTAATTACATATCCGCGGCCGCAATACGCTGTAGCTGCTTACCTAGGTACACTATAGGTAGACAGCACCCCAAAGTGGGTAACACTCCAGCTCGCATCCTCCGTTGTCTACCTACCTACGTGTACCTACATACCCACCTTACTTTTGCGCGCTTCTCCGTCTTCCGCCTCAAAACACACAATCTTCCACGCAAGAATTGTCAAACCTCTTCGACCTGACACTAACACACCTCCTCCCCTTGACACCTCGGACTGTGACTTTGCAAACTTGCTTCGTCAACTGGCATAGTCCCAGCACCTTCCAGTACCCGCTTCTCATCCTGCCGCACGCTCGCCCGTCTAGCGTTCTCGACGGCCCAATTTGCGCCGACCCTCCGCTTCGAGCCGTTTGCCGCATCCGAACCACCCGCCCTGCGACGATTCTTCACCGATCGGCCTCGACGAACCTCTCGTCGCATCAAGCGAACCCACTGCCTCTTGGACAGTAGCAGCCGACAGCCCCATCCTCCCCTCGACAGAACAAGACCGCGAGCCCGCGAACAGAGAAATGATGGCACGTACGCGGAGGGGGGTCAAGTTCCCTCATAAGACCAATGGTCACGGCGAAGGCCGCCGCTCGAGCTTCAGCGACGTCAGCGAGGATGGTTCGCCCTCCAAGATCAAGACCGGCGTTGCGCTCGATAACATTTCAGAGGTAAGCGAGCCACCTTGCCATGCCAGGCTGATGCTATGCACGAGCAAGAGTCGCCCTTCCCCATTCTAGGCCTTCTGCTAACGCGCGCCTCGTCGTGACAGCAGCCGCCCAAGTCCCCCGAGGAGGAGAAGCGCGAGGCCTACGAGAAGAAGAAGGCAAACTTCATGACCCGTACCTTTTGGACCTTTGTCATGTTCGCCGGCTTTTTCGCTGCCCTTGTCATGGGCCACATTTACATCATTTGCATTATGACCGCCATCCAGATCATTTCCTTCAAGGAGGTCATCGCAATCGCCAGTGTGCCCAGTCGCGCCCGCCAGCTGCGCTCTGCCAAGAGCCTTAACTGGTACTGGCTGGCCACCACCATGTACTTTCTCTATGGCGAGAGCGTCATCTACTACTTCAAGCACATCGTCCTGGTCGACAAGGTGCTGCTGCCTTTGGCAACCCACCACCGATTCATCAGCTTCATCCTGTACATCTTTGGTATGTCCTACCCGCGCGCCGCCTCTCTCCCACTGGACCTATCAGAGTCCTGGGTCGTATGCTAACCTATTGCACCAATTGCAGGCTTCGTCTTTTTTGTCACCTCGCTCCAGGCTGGTCACTACAAGTTCCAATTTACGCAGTTCGCCTGGACCCATATGGCCCTGTACCTCATTGTCGTACAAGCCCATTTCATCATGAACAATGTCTTCGAGGGGATGATCTGGTTCTTCCTGCCGGCCGCTATGGTCATCACCAACGATATTTGGGCCTACCTCTGTGGCATCACCTTTGGTCGCACCCAGCTGATCGCCCTTTCTCCCAAGAAGACCGTTGAGGGTTTCGTTGGCGCTTGGGTTTTTACCATTATTTTTGGCATGCTCTTGACCAACGTCTTGATGCGCTCCGACTTCTTCCTCTGTCCTGTTAACGTTAGTGTCCCTTCGTCCTCCGCGGTGCTGTGTGGCCTACTAACTTGGCTAGGACTTGGGCGCGAACATTTTCACCGGCCTCGAGTGTACGCGCAACCCCGTCTTCGAACCGAAAACATACAGCCTGCCCCCTCTCTTCTTCCTGCCTCCCAACATGCACAAAACCTTTTCCTTCACCGTGGCTCCGATGCAGCTCCACACTCTGGTTCTCGCAACCTTTGCCTCTCTGATCGCTCCCTTTGGCGGTTTCTTTGCGTCGGGCCTCAAGCGCACCTTCAAGATCAAGGACTTTGGCGACTCTATTCCCGGCCACGGTGGTATGACGGACCGCATGGACTGCCAGTTCATCATGGGCTTCTTCACTTACATGTACTACCACTCTTTTATCGCCCTCCACACGGTCAACCTCGGCGACGTCATGGAGATGGCTGTCACTGGTTTAACTGTGGAGGAGCAGCTCGAATTGGTGAGGGGCATGGGCCGTTATCTCAGCAACCAAGGTGTTTGGGGAGATGAGGTTAGTGTTGTCGCCCCAAGCTGTTGTCCAACTTATGTACTGACCAACTTGCCAGATCATTCAGTGCCTGGATAAGGCTCTGCAGGCTAAGCGGTGAAGGATGTGCGCCCGGTGAGCGTTACCGCAGCAGCGGAGCATGAGCAGGATACTGCTATTAATGACGAACTAATGCGAAATTCGGTACATGTGCAGACTCGAGTCATGATGCACCTTCTGCTCTCGGTTCTATAGGAAAGCGGGAGAGCTGTTTTTGTTGTTTTTATGCTGGGCAGTCGGGAGGGAGAGCTGTGCAGCACCACGGATAAAGAAAAGCATTTACGTAATAACGGCGGTCGCTGTACAAGAGACATTCTTGGTTTATGACGGGCAGATGGAATTTTGCATGGGCTTCGCTGCTGTAACATACCCTCGCGACGTTTTTTTCATTTTTCAACATACAATCCTCATCTCAGCCACGTGATGCCTTTGCGACCGGGAGAGAGGTGCTGTGACATTCCCATCTTATCGTTCGAAAGTTTAAGATCGGACTGCCGAAACAGGTCGTTTGTGAAGTCAAGTACGGAGTATGACAACACGAAAAAGAATATTCGGCAACCTCCCCCCACTTTGGACCGGGCCGGTTTCCGGTTACCGGTCGTCTTTTAGAGAAACGATCCCGGTCGTGCCTTATCTTGACCCGCAACCCCGCAACCCCGCTC